CCGCTGGGGTGAGGTGGGAAAAGCCCAGATTTGGGGCATTTTTTTTTGGGGGGGGGGGGGAAATTGCATCCTGGTATTGCTTTTGCAAAGTCCTTTAACCCCCCCACCCCTCTTCCCCCAGATCAACACCTTCATGGACCTGCTGGTGGCCGAAAACCCCAACCTGGTCAGCAAGCTCGAGATCGGCCGGTCAACGGAAAACCGCCCCCTCTATGTGCTCAAGGTGAGGATTTGGGGTTCGTGGGGTGACCAGAGAGGGGAAACAGGACCAGGGACAAAGCCAACGCCCTCCATCTGCTCTTCCAGTTCAGCAAAGGGGGGACGAACCGCCCGGCCATCTGGATTGACACCGGCATCCACTCCCGCGAATGGGTGACCCAGGCCAGCGGGATCTGGTTCGCCAAGAAGGTACGGCCAGAACCTGGATGTGTCTTATGTCCCCAAAAGGCCACAGGGTCCTGTAGCCACCATGGGTGGTTGACCCCATGGAGGGGATCCAGCAGTGCCAGGGAGCTCCAAACCTCCATCCTCTCTAGATTGTTGTGGACCATGAGAATGACCAAGACTTGGCCTCCCTCCTGGACAAGATGGACATCTTCCTGGAGATCGTCACCAACCCGGATGGCTTCGCCTACACCCAAAGCCAGGTACCACCCAGGCTTTCCTCTCCCTGGCTCCTACAGCCACACTGGATGGGGCTGGGGAGCAGAATTGGGGTGCCCCATCAAGACCCCTGAAAGGTCGAAGCCTCCTTGACCATGGGATGGGAAGGGGACCACCGTGACCCATTGCTCCCTAAATAATCCCCCTTTTTGCTCGAGGCTGGCAGAGCTCTAGCCCCGGACACCAGCTGAGATGGCTCTGCCTTTCCAGAACCGCATGTGGCGCAAGACCAGGTCCAAGAATTCGGGCTCCATTTGCGTCGGCGTGGACCCTAACCGCAACTGGGATGCAGGTTTCGGAGGTCAGGGCTCTCCCGCTTGCCCCATGGTGGGGTTCTGCCCTCCACGTGGAGGCACCGAGGCCTTTTCTGGCTCAGAAAGATCCCCTGATGTCCCCTGGGGAAGGGATGGGATTTGCTCTCTGTGGGTTTTGGCTCCACCGGGGCTTTGGTGTCCCCTAGTGACACATTTAGGAGGAGCCCAAGGAGGTCACCAAGCAGCTGAGAGGGTGGGAAAAGCTCTTGGGCTTGGAAATGGAAAAGACCCTTTGTCTTTGTGACTTTCTCAGCCACCCAACTGCCACCAAAGCCACCAAACACCCACACTGTGCTTTCATTTGTCCCCAGGGTCCGGGGCCAGCGGGAACCCCTGCTCGGAGACGTACCATGGTCCCTATGCCAACTCGGAGCCCGAGGTGAAGGCCATCGTGGACTTCGTGAAGAACCACGGGAACATCAAGGCTTTTGTCTCCATCCACAGCTACTCCCAGCTCCTGCTTTACCCCTACGGCTACACCACCACCCCAGTGCCTGACCAGAAGGAACTGGTAGGGCTGACACAGAGGGCTGGGATGGTGGGAGGCTGCTCTCCTCCTCCAAGGAGGTGCAACCTCCATCCTGCGTCTCAAAGGGGGCATTGGCAATTTGGGAAGAAGCCATGAAGCCTCTGCCAGCCCCTGGGGACACCCCAAGCCAAGGCTGCTGAGCTTTAATGTCCTTTTTGCTCGTGATATGAGGGAAAAACCCTCTCGTCCAGGCTGTATCTCACAGGTTTTCCCTTTCCTGTGCTCATCTTTTGCTCTTCTGTGTATCTCCAGCATGAGATTTCCGAAAAGGCGGTGGCGGCTCTGTCCTCTCTGTACGGCACCAACTACAAGTACGGCAGCATCATCACCACCATCTGTAAGTAACAAGAGGGCACTAAAAATTAAATAAACCTCCAAAATAAACCCCAAAAGAACCACTCGCAATCAGCTTAGACAAAAGGCCTTGTGAAATACCCACACGATGCAGAGCGACCGATGTTTCACGTCCCTCCTGTTGCTTCCCCCTCTCAGATAAGGCGAGCGGAGGAACCATCGACTGGACGTACAACCAGGGCATAAAATACTCCTTCACCTTCGAGCTGCGGGACACGGGGCGCTACGGCTTCCTGCTCCCCGCCAAGCAGATCGTCCCCACCGCCGAGGAGACGTGGCTGGCGCTGAAGGTCATCATGCTCCACGCACGGGACCATCCCTACTAGACCTGGATAGGTTGAATTCGCTGTAGGGGAAAAGCAAGCAATAAATACATGTAAAGAAGGATGAAAATTGGCTTTTGGTGTTTCCTTGTTTTTCCAAATCAGAGCATAGGATGGAAGGGGATGAGTGGCTGGAGCTGCCAGGCAGAAAGTGACCTGGGGGTGTTGGTGGCAGCAATGCCCATGAGCCAGCAATGTGCCCTTGAGCCAAGAAGGCCAACGCCATCCTGGGGTGGATGAGAAGGGGTGGTTGGAGGGCAGAGAGGTTCTCCTGCCCCTCTGCTCTGACCTGCTCACACCACAGCTGCAATCTTGTGTCCAGTTCTGGGCCCTCAGGTCAGGAAGGACAGGAACTGCTTGAAAGAGTCCAGCAGGGCCACAAAGATGATCAAGGGAGTGGAGCATCTCCTGCTGAGGAGCGGCTGAGGGAGCTGGGGCTCTTGAGCTTGGAGCAGAGGAGACTTGAGGGGTGCCCTCATTCCTGGGGATCCATTTGGAAAGGGCAGTGTCAGGAGGAAGGAGCCAGGCTCTGCTCTGGGATGTCCAATGCCAGGACAAGGGGCAATGGTCCCAAGCTGAGCACAGGAGGTTCAAGCTGAAGATGAGGCCAAACTTTGTGAGTGTGAGGGTGCAGAGCATGGCCCAGGCTGCCCAGAGAGGTTGTGGAGTCTCCTTGTGTGGAGACCCCCAAAGCCCTGAGGTGTTCCTGTGTGACTGCTCTGGTGATCCTGCTCTGGCAGGGGTTGGACTGGGGGAGCTTTCCAGGTCCCTTCCAACTCCTCATATTCTGTGTTTCTGTGAGGTTCAGTTTGACACTCACTGGGCAAGCAGTGACCGCTGCCATTCCCAGCCCTCCCAGGGATGTGTGATGCAAGGCAATGGGGTTAATGTGATTTATTCTGCATGGTTTTGGGGTCGAACACCAACTTGTGATGCAGGTAGGAAGGTCCCTCCTCACCTGCTGCCATCCCATGGGATGGGCGAGCCAAGCCCCTGCCCAATCCCAGCTTCTGAAGGCATCGCTCCACGCTCTCCCATAGCTGTCAAAGCTCAAACTGAAATGAAGTACTTAAACACAGAGCATCATTTAATTTTTATTAAATTAAAACAATTAAAACTTGCAGATTTTATAGAGTTTGACTCTATCCTTCAAACAAGAGTCCAAAACCATACAACTCCATCAAGACGGTGATGGGGAAGGTACAATGGGAAGGTACCTTCAGTTCTTCCTTTGATGTCCTGGATTTGGAGGAGCTCAGACTTCTTCTGTCCACTCATTTCTGGAGGTTTTCATGCATTTCAGAGCAAAGTCAGGGCTTAAAGCAACACACACAACCCCTTATTTTGATATGTGTTTTGTATTTGCTTACAATTTTAACACTGCCAGGTGCTCATGGAGTCGAAACACCCCCTGCTCGCACCCTGTGTGCTGTACTGGTCCCTGATCTCACATCTCTCCTGTGCACGTTCAGCTAAATCAAGAGGGTAGTATCATTTCTTCAGGCAACTGAATTATGCAGGAGACACCGCTTTGTCCCATGGTTTTATTTCACGACAAGGTGAAAACAGAGGTGCTGCACAAGAAGGAGCAGTGGGAGATGAAGATCAGACTACGCAGCGGTGTAACCCATGACATACCCCAACATTCAAAGCTAAACGTGGTGTTTCTGCGATGCTCCAGTCCCCAGCTCCTTGGAAACCCTTATTTAGCTTTTATTTCTTTTATTAGCCCACCTAATGGCATCGTCACTCAGTTATTAAAGCCTCAAGAGGTGACTTTTCTCCCCAAGGCTGCAAGTGAAGAGCGAGGACAAGAACCAGGTCCCTGCAGCTCCTGCTTCGGGCTCAGATCATTTAAAAACCTCACTTTTCTCTCAAGAAGTGATGCTGCCATTGCACAGAAAGCAACCTGTCTGACCTAGGAAGACAAGCTACGTCCTTAATAAATAAATACAAATTAAATATGCCTACAAGTACAACAAGAAATCTCCCAGAAGTGGGTTTGAGTAGGAAGGTACGAAAGCAGAGGAGTTACTAAGATGATGAGATGCATCCACTTCCTAAGCATGGGCTGAATTAAGATCTTCAATTTTTCAATGTTCATACCTGACCAGCCCAATTCTCAGGGTTCGTACACACACACTCCCATGGAAACCCAGGATCTTTAGCACATGGGTTGGAAGGACAATTTGTACAAATCAGAGCTGGTTTGTACAGCTTCAAGCGTCCAAGGGCTCCTTGGGGAAGTTGAATTTACCCCCCTGCAATCAGATTTTGCTCCATATAAAAATATAACCGAGTATTTGAACGCTCGGGGGGGGCATCCAGTAACTTGAAGTGCTTTGCTCAGCACATTTGAAATGCTCTGTCCTATGTGCCTTGATTTTCCCCCCTTATTTTCCCTCTGGAGGATGCTGATACCTCGCTCTTCTGATCACCTCCCTTTTCTCTGGAGAGGACTGAGGTTATGGCTCTTGTCAGAACAAAAATGCCAGTCCCTGATTTAAGACACACAAACATAATAAATGTGGTAAACGTGCTCAGGGATGTTGAGTCTTAAACTGCCCAACTCTCACCTTGTCCTTCCACCAGAATTATCCCCTATACCAGCAGTGGATTGGGGGGCTTATTAAAGATTGTCTACTTTAAAAAGGGGGGATAAAACCCCACCAGAACTCAAAAAAAACATGCACAAAAAACGCCACAAGACCAAGAAGCCAAAGCCGGACCAAGCTGAGCAATACCAGAGAGAAAACCTAGAGAGCAGGATCTCTCCATAACCACCTACAACGTCTCTCGTAGGCAACTCCACTTTGTCACAGGGAAAGTTCAGATGATTTTTAGGCCAATACTAGTACAGTGGAAGCATCAATTTGATGACAGCTGGGATATTTCTTTCCTATGAAATCTCCACACTCCGCTCAGTCACCAAATTCATGGTGAGGGAGCAGATGAAAATTGTCCTTCAGTCACCCTAACCTTAAAGACGCTGCTCCAAAACCACTGGCAAAGGTGTAACTGGGAATCAATTTCCAACCTCTGTCAGGTACTGCAGAGCTCCTTGCTGCTCCACTGAGGAATTCAGTTTGACTTCAAGGAGCAAAAAAAAAGCATTTTATGAAGGAAAAATTACATTCTGCCTCCTAACCTTGACTTGCAGCAGCCCATGAGAGCCAAGGGAAGCCTCGTCAGCGGAAGAGCGATCGCCTCCTCCATATAGGCCACGGTTTTCTGCAGCTCCAGTGACCAGCAACTTGCTCTGGGAAGTCAGAAAAGGAGCAAACCAATGGTACACGGTGAAATTTAGGAGATGCTTCGCCTGCACACCAAGAAAAGGGGCACAGCAGACAATCTGCCCTAGGACACATCAGCTAAAACACATCTCTCAGCCTTACTCTCTCATTTAATCTCATTTAGACCCCAAACTACCACACAGATCTCTAACCATGGCAAGTAACAAAGCAGAAAAAACACGGTTAAAAGCTTTCCAGACAATAAGGAAGAGAGGGAAAATACAGTTATTTCCCCTTCCAGCTTACCTTTAACAATACAGAACCGGTTCACAAACTGTCCAGGAGTAAACTGTCAGGTTACAGTGCCGCACTGGGCATTATTTCCAAAAAAAACCCCCACCTTTATTACAAATACTTCTGTTCATTATCATAATTTAATAAAAATCAACTTAGGGAATCCTCTCTCCAGCCTTTTGGCAAGTTGCTGAATGTCTGTGTAGCAGAGATACACCACCAGTTTTTGCTCACAGATGGTTTCTGGCTCATTTACCTTCACACGTGTTCGCCTGTGGTTCTGGGCACAGCACAGGAGGAGCGTGGTACAGACACAAACTCATCTGTCTGAACTACAAGCTTTGCACAACTGTTTCTACCGGTCGCAGGCTTTACTACCAGTTTCCTCCCTCCTCTATAAAAATTGGACCAACTCTGTCCTGACACTGCACCTAAAGGTCAGCCTTGCCAAAGCGATATCGTTCCAGCTCCCCCAGCCTTACCCGTGCTGTCATTTAGCAACCACCGCTGGGTTTTTTTTCGGCGCATTCCTAAAATGACAAACGGGCTGCACTGCTCAGAGTACCCAGAACCCGGACGTTTCATTTAGTCAGTGAAAGAAGACACTGCTCTTTATTTCCATGGTCTGTTCTGGAGGCTGGACTTGCTGAGCAAGCGGGCGCTGAGGGATCCCACGCTGCCAGCGGCGCTGGGGTTGTGCCTTGAGGTTGTTGCTCTGGAAGTGTGGCCTGAAGAACCACGGCTAAGACGGCCTGGGGTGGGGAAGAGAAATAATAAAAGATCAGTTGTTGTGTGCATGACAGAGCATAAGGACACACAGATTATCTGTTGCCACTCGCTGGCTCTCCAGCTCTCACTGTAAAGGTATTTTGGGACATGGTTTAGTGGGCATGGTGGGGTTGGGTTGGACTTGATGATATTAGAGGTCTCTTCCAACCTTAATGACTCTGTGATTCTGTATAGACCCATCAATAATTCAGTGAGGGATTCTAGGCAGTCTCTACCCACCTGTGCAACACTAAGAACTTTTTAAGAAGCCTACTAATAACCAAGAAAACCAAAATACATTTAAATATAGTGGGTAAAATGGTATATGCCCACCCTCAGCAGGCCCAGGATTTTGTCATCGTGTAGCAACAGAAGATTTAAGCTCTCTGGGATCAGTATAGCACAGGTTTTGGTGGATCTTCCCAAAAAGATCCATCAAAAAAACCCCTCTCCCCGGTGTCTCATGGAGAGAATTCAGCAAAGCAGAGAACTGCTGCAGGGCAGCTTCAAGAGCTACAGAAAGCAGCTGCAGGGCTCATCCTGGAGTCTTACTGGCAGTGTCCAAAGGAACGCGCTCCTCTTCCAGGTAGTACTTTATCTTCTGTAGATCATCCGCAGAAAATCTCCGTTTATTCTCAGCCCGTGCGGGTGGCGCTTTGGGAAAGGTCTTTTTTTGGGCAGATCCAGTGGGAGGTGGCACCTGGCAGGACACGGGGAGCGAGCCAGTGACCAGGCCTTCTGGAACCTTCTGCGCAAGGACCTTCAGGCCTGCAGATGTAGAGAGCACACATTATTAGTTACCACCACCTAAGATGGGATCAATGATTTCACCACAAATAAAACACTCAGAGCTGAATATCCAGCTCTTTCCAATCTCCAGCTCATACAACCCTCGCTCTCCGCTCTCGGTTTACCCACCCGAAATCTCAGGGAGTCCTGCTCACCCCCACTTACCTCCAGATAACATGAACAAGTTCTCAAAGCCCCTCTCGCACATGGTTGTCGCAGCCTGGCTGGCTAACCTCTCGTCGTTGTCGTACAATATGATAATTTTCCCGTGGGCATTTTTCTGAGGGGTAGAAGAGCTAAGGATTCATTTGTAAACTTAAGGAGATTGTTAATATCTTGTAGAGAGAGAGATGAACAAATGGGGCTGGAGACTGGGAGATTCCCTACTTGATCTGGGAGTATCAGGCAGGAAAAAAAAACTTTCATCTGTTTTAAAACTGATTTTCTCAGCTGCTGGAAGGACACAGCATAACCCCACTGACTTGTCTTTTTAATCTCATCACTGTTTTGAAGGTTATTTAGTAACAGGCAACAGCAAAAAGCACAGTCATTCACAACGTCCTCTCTGCCCTGCAGCCCTCAAGATAACAACCTGGGCAATTATCAGCCTAATCTTAGCTAATAATCCTCTTTCTGTCCTCCAGAGAAAAGCCAATCCCCATCAAGGTGCTGAGAGGAAGCCAAAGGATTTGATGAATGCATCCCTCGAGAAGCCCAGCACTCCAGCAACAGCAAGGGATGGGTCCTCAAGTAGCACAGCTTTGCCTTCCAGCAGCTAAAAATCCCAAGAGCAGCCAAATTCAGGCAGCTCCCACCAAAGTCATGAGGTGCTGCAGCTTGAGGAACAAGAATTCAGTATCTGATGATGGCAGCGGCGTCCCACCAGATAATCACAGCCAGGACCTCCTCTCCCACCCTCCTTGAAGTCTCCAGCGACTGCTGTAACTTCAACTGTTTTTGGAAGCCCCCACCAACATCCTCTTATTTTATTTTTCTTCAATTATTATTTCAATTTCAGCACTTTACACGTAAAGGATACATATTCCAAAATACTATTTGTATACGGATTCATGGCTCTAGACAGCGTTGTAATAGGGTAGGAATAAGCTGCAGAGGAGAGAAAAAAAAAAAATAAGAGAGAAAAATCATAGAGTGGCTGAACATCAACCATCACAGAAGCTGGAATACAACTGACACACACTTATTAGAGTTCAACAGACTTGAAAAATCTCCTGAATAAGGGATTAACATCAGCTCAGTCTCCTTATCCCTTCCCCAGGAAGGATGGATGTAATGAAGCCAGCCAGAATATGACACAAAAACCTGAATATATGACCCCAGCTGACACCAGGCTGCTGGGGGATTCTGGCCTCCTCACCTCCAATAATGTGACATTGGTCGTACGCATCTCGGTCTCGTACATCCAAAAGCAGGAAGGGGCAGTCGGGATAAGGTGTGTCTTTGACCTGAGCATCCGCTTTCTTCGGGGAGTCCTTTTCCATATCCAGTTCGCCAATGCCACTTATCACACTGCAAGAGGAAAGAAGAGGAGGTTACGGTGCAAGCTCTCACTCTGAACACTTCTGTACCTCTTCACCAGCTCAGAGTGGTTTTCCACTGCCTGCTCCAATAGCCCGGTTACATTCCAGTACAACTAGACAGCACATTAAAAGAGAGAGATTCTATTTCAGGCTTTCCAGTACATCATTAGAGACTGATATCATTGTTATAAATGAAATAAATATATAAAAACCAAAAATCTGAGTACAGCTTTGCTGTGTGAACACCCCATGCTCTTCTGGATCGGTCGAGTCAAGGTGTTTTACGTCCTAAGTGACTTAGAAGTGAGGGACAATAACTCTAAGAAGCTGCCAATGTCGAGATCTCAGCGAGTCAGACACAATAAATAACTGTCAGTCATCTACGAGCAGTGCTATGCAAAGGATTCCCATTTCATCACTGGATTGGATACAGGACATGGACAGAAGCCTCCAGATACCCTTAGTGGTCACTAAATCATAGAATATATTGGGTTGGAAGGGACCTTTAAAGCTCGTCCAAGCATGGACACTGTCACCACATCAGGCTGCTCACAGCCCCATCAAACCTGACCTTGAATATCTCCAGGGATGGGGTCTCCACCACCTCTCTGGGCAACCTGTGCCAGTGATGGCTTTGATACGCAATGGCCAGGCCTGTCAGGCTACGTCTCAACTCTTCTGTTAACGTTTGCACAGGCAGAGCAAAGGAAGAGCTGAGACAAAGCTCCCTCTTACAGCATCGCCCTGGTATCTCTGACCTTGACTAGTGATGTATCTGGTTTGGAAATTGGTCTCAATCATAGAACAATGCATGAAGATCATCAGGAAAGCACATTAGTGAGTTCACCAGAGCATTTTACGACATGGATTCTTGAATTCAGAGACCTGGATCGACTCCCACGAACATAATTCCTTGTCAGCCATTTAGGCAGCCATCAGGTGGCAACCGTGTTGGGTTACAGCCGCAAACCACACTCATTCCGACAGGAAAACCTGCCAACCCTCTCTCTCAGTCACATCCCCAGCCCTGCAAAATCAGGCTTTAATGACAAATACAATATAAAGCCACTAGAAGCAATTTAAAATAACCAGCTGGGTAAAAGCAATTATCTGCTAAGCCAGGAAGAAAATCGTGTCTTATCAGGCACCTCTGCAACGTGGACCGACAGGGTTCCCCAGGTCCCGCGTTGTTTATGAACAGGACCAGATCAGATGTCCCATCGGGGCTTCCTTTCCCATTTGTCCCTGCTGTAACTTCTGCATCTGCAGCAGCAGCATTACCATCTGGGGAGAGAACAGGATTCAAAGAGTTAAAATGCTGCAGGAAATAAAGCAGCAGGTTTTAAGGGCAGTTTCTATTCTTAGAAGAAAGCGTGTGCCTTAAAGACAGCCTTACCTTCATCCTCTTACAAGGGTGACTCACCGAGAGCCTCATATTAAAAATACGAGCCATATGATTTTAAAAAGAGAGCCATATGATTTTTAGGGGCGCAAAATCACAGAATCACAGAATCCCAGAACGGTAGGGATTGGAAGGGACCTCAAAAGCTCATCCAGTCCAATCCCCCTGCCGGAGCAGGAACACCCACATGAGGTTACACAGGAAGGCATCCAGGCGGGTTTTGAATGTCTGCAGAGAAGGAGACTCCACAACCTCTCTGGGCAGCCTGGGCCAGTGCTCTGTCACCCTCACTGAGAAGAAGTTTCTTCTCACATTGAAGTGGAACCTCCTGTGTTCCAGCTTGTGCCCATTACCCCTTGTCTTATCATTGTTTGTCACTGAGAAGAGCCTGGCTCCATCCTCGTGACACTCACCCTTTCTATATTTATAAACATGAATGAGGTCTCCCCTCAGTCTCCTCTTCTGCAAACTAAAGAGACCCAGCTCCCTCAGCCGCTCCTCAGAAGGGAGATGCTCCACTCCCTCCATCATCTTTGTAGCCCTACGCTGGACTCTCTCCAGCAGTTCCTGTCCTTCTTGAACTGAGGGGCCCAGAACTGGACACAATATTCCAGATGCGGTCTCACCATTTTAAGGATTCAATAAAATCCTTGATGCGTGGTACCTATCAAGTTACTACAATAAACTCGGCGGCACAAGGTCTTTCTTCTTTGCAAGCCGTTTTAGGAGCGATGCATCCCAAAATGGAACGGCCACAAGCCACAGGTTATTTTTTTTCCTCCCTGATAAAATGACTCGCTGAGTAGTCACATTTGTCTGTCAGGACACAGTTCATCGTATGACAGCGATCTACAGCCCTTTCTCTTTGTGCTTACAATAAATATTGTTACCTTCCAGCCTGTGAAGCTCCTCATTTGTCACTTCTAAGGTTTCATCAGACAGAGAGGCAACCTGGATGACCTGCAGGGAACAAAAGCAAGCAATGATACCGCATCAGCGTGAATGAAAAAAAAAAGGCAGGGATCAGCTTAATCCTCAAGCCAAAACACTCAACGGACTCAAATTTAACTCAACGCAACTTCTGCTGCAAATGCATCCTTTTAATTATCAAAAACTGTAGCCAAATAAAAGAACGCTTGATTTTATGATGAGGAAAAGCCAGATGTGCTGTGCTGGCGATATCATATATTGAATGTTTTCTCATCTTTATGAAGTTCAGTCACTGGCTGCAACCGAAACGTTTCAGAACGTACACTAAATTGCATTAAACTGCCCATGGTTAATCAACCTGTGAGAGCAGATCCGTGATACTCACGTATTAAATCTGTTCACTGCAGCAGTGACTCAAAGGATCGGTCTTAACAAGCCAGGGGAACTAAAGATGCAGAAATCCACACTTCCAATATCTCCAAGTTTAACCTTCCCTTTCCTTCTTCTCCTTAGAAGGAAGCCTTCTCTTTTCCTAGTTTTCACAAGTTTTCTTGAACTAACATACATGTAACACACAGCTCTTTATTTTTCCATTTTTTAGTATCTTGATTCATTACTTTTTAATTTTAAAA